CTCTGAAACACTGGGTCAGAACGTTATGTTCTGGTGGCAGTGCATCTAGTAGACCCACTGGGTTATTTTGCACGACACCGGCCCGTGTTGATGACAGCTCGACCCCTCCGGCAAAACCGACTCATAACAAACCGCGCGTGCCACCTCACAGCTCGAGAGCGGAACCCTGACGTCACAAAGGCCACAGAGTTTGTTTGTGCTCGCGGTCAGAACAGAACTGTCAGATCGCGCCAAGCATAACGGAAATTATTCATAATAATAATAATAATAAAAAACTCTAAAAGACTATCTGTAGTGATGAAAGACAAATCTTGTCACATTTGAACACTTAACGGTGAATGACAGAAAAAAGTTACTAAATCAGCAGAACATCACTGGATTTGCGGCACCGTGATCCGATGCTGACACCGGTCCAATCAGACGCGCTGGATCAGCGCACCACAATGATAGTCTAACTAGTTCACACACCCTTTCTCTATCTCACACAGACACACACCACTCCCTGTCGCCGTGCACCTAACAGCTCGCTCACAAACAGCCCACCTGGGTCCACCGATCTCGCGCAACTCTCACCTGGGGATGCAGTTAGGAGAGGAGCCGTCTATCTCCCAGGTGGCGAACAGGTTCATAGGCACCGGTCTGTTTAGCGCCCCGCTCCCGGGGAAGCTTAACCGGCCACTTCTTTCCGCCATGCTCGCTGCTGGTGTCCCGTTCACCTCCACCGACACGGTGAGCAAACTTCTCCCTCAGGAACGCGCTGGATCTAAATCCTTCCCGCTGTTAATCCGCTGCTCTACGGAGCCGGGTTACCGTTCACGGGTGGTGCAGCGATTCTCGTGCGGTGTCTGCGCGCAGCTTCATGCCGCTGTGGCTCGGAGTTTCCACACCGTGCACCGACCGCTCGCGACAAGAAACTGCAGCGGCAGCGGCAGCCAAGAGTGTGCAGGAAGTCACGTGACCCCGGGTTGTACCAGAGACTGGCGCATCTGCGCTCTCGCACACTCGGGATGGCCAGTAAATAACGGGACAACTGTAGTGAAAGTACCTAGTGCTGTTTATAAATGAAGAGTTACGTCATGCTGGGATTGTACAGTATCACAGTACAGTGCGATCATTACTCATTACTGTAGTGCTTGCAAGTACTGGACAGTTTGCTTCGCGAAATAGCAAGCATGGAGCATTTATTGAATCTACTTCATGAAAAAGTTGGTCAAGATAATATATAAATAAAATAACAATAATGGATGTTAATATAAGGCAATTATCTTTTAAATATTATCTCACAGATATTATATTATATTATATTATATTATATTATATTATATTATATTATATTATATTGCTATTCCAAATGTCCAGTATCCTGGACATCAATTTTACTTATATCATAACAATAGCATTCTATAATGATAATATAATATAATAATACAATATTATAAATATACTTATATATTCTTTGATACAAAAAAAAAATCAAGATTATCCTGATCCCAGTCTGGATGTTAATATAAGGCAATTATCTTTTAAATATTATCTCACAGATATTATATTATATTATATTATATTATATTATATTATATTGCCATTCCAAATGTCCAGTATCCTGGACATCAATTTTACTTATATCATAACAATAGCATTCTATAATGATAATATAATATAATAATACAATATTATAAATATACTTATATATTCTTTGATACAAAAAAAAAATCAAGATTATCCTGATCCCAGTCAGGCACGGTGCTAAGGGGGGGCTAGACCAGTGTGTGGGGGTGCTAAGGGGGGGCTAGACCAGTGTGTGGGGGTGCTAAGAAAATAAATGATATTGATGACATCAGAGTTACTTCATAAAGAAATGGGGCTAAACCGGGGCTATTAAACATTCTGACGGGGCTATAGCCCCCCTAGCCCCGGTCAGAGCCATAGAGAGCCATCTCTTTCTATGGCTCTGGCCCGGTGTAGCGCCGTCACTGATCCCAGTGGATTATATATAGCGGTTCTAAATTCACGTTAAACCACGGCTTCATGGGTTTTTGCTCTATTTTATTTCTGGTTTTGTGCTGGTAATCCTGTTGGTATATTCTGCATGGGATCGCTATGCGCGCCGCGTTTGTATAAGCGGAGAGAGGGATATGCTAGTGATAGGAATCCATCCCTTCTGGTTATTGAATTGTGTAACGTAGCAAACCAAGGGCTGTTTCAAACCGCGTTTCTGGGACTGCCTTTGAGCAACCACAGTTTTAAGGATGGATTGGCACATGGTTTGTCTAAAAGCAAATGAAAACAGCACATAGACAAATAAACAACATAATAAACTGGATTTTCACTACAGGGGGACTTTCAATTTAATTTAATTAGAAAAAGGTTGACCTTTTCTGGTTTTATTTCTAAAATGATGGATAATTGTGTGATAGCTTTTTGCAAACGCTGCAAATTCTGAGCTAACCTAAAATTATCATTCCTTTTTTTTTTTTTTTTGCTCCCTTACATCAACTGATGCTTTCTTATGGAAATGCAAATCCAGTTCTATTAATGTTATTATAATTACTGGTTTTTTTTCTCAAAATGTATAAAAGTATGCTTTTTAAATGTATTTATTTAGCTGTGTCTATAAAACGCTGCAGATATTGTCAATGACAACGTGTTATTGAAAGAGCAAAAGGACAAGCTGTTCCAGTTGTATTTATAGTAATGAACTATTTTCCAACTCACGCCATTTGTGTATGTGTGTTTGTTTCTCAAACAACTAACCTATTCTCATCAGCACGGCACAAATTGCTCTTAGGCCTCTGATCTCAAAGCACTTCTGCTGTTTGTTTGCAGATTGATGTTATCTGTTTGCCCTTGAGGACGAGAGCGTGCAGTGCAGAGGACACTAGTTTCACCGGCAGAGGCATGGAGGGAGGGGGGTTGTGCTTGGGACAGTGCAGATGTTACAATATCGCCTCCCATTCATACTTCTCAATATGTGGTTGCCAGGTTCCTCGTAGCAACAGAGATCCATTTATAAAATACAGTCTGCTAGTGTGCTTCTCATACCGTATTGACTGAATCAATAACTCTGTGCGGTGTGCATGTTGAGGCCCTAGATCAGGGATGGGCCCCATATACGGCCCGCAGTGTCTTTTAGTACGGCCCGCTGGATCCTATTAGACTCGGATGATCAATTTTAAAACATTTGAAGAGCAAGTCAAGTAAAGATTGCTTTCAGTTTATAATGTTAATACTATCTCCGACCAGGAGAGGTCGCTATTTCCAGCCGCTCCTCTATTCATTTCAGCGTGGTAGGATGTGAACTCTAATGTAAACATTCATTAACATTAGCAAATAATAAATGAAAAACTGACCATGAAAACAGTATTTTCAAGTCAAGATGGTAAACAGATGATCTTTTTACCAAGTGCAAGGGGATACCCATATGTTTGGATTGTTTGGAAATCTGTATTTTATTTAAATCGCCATCACACCACTGCTCACAAACAACGGGGACGCCAGAGTTGCACTTGCTTCAAATTTCAAAGGTAAAATTCATAGTCAACAAAAGCTTTTTGCCAAATGCATGACAGAAATGTTTGCACTGGACTATGTTCTTATTAGGGTTTCCGCGGGTCCTTAAAACGTCTTCAGTTCAGTTGTTTACATTTAAGGCCATGCAAACTCTTAAATGGTACAAAAAGTCTAAATTATAAGAGGTCTTTGGGGACGGAAAGACAAGAATCGCTATGTGGATTAATATGATGATTAAACTTCAAAAGGCTATGATTTCACTGAATAAACTTGAGCGCTGCCGTCAGCTTTGTGTACTGCGGTTACCGGGGAAACCACTATATTTCTGCAGTTCTGAAAGTGACACCTGCTGGCAGAGAACGAATTAGCTTTTTCAATAAGCCCGTCTGCTATTTTTGCTACATATTTTTAAATGTGAACCAGTGGATGACAAAAAGCTAATGCATTATAAAAACCTAAACAATTAAGACACTAAGATATATGTTATTTAATATAATTAATTGATAATAATGGTTTAAATGAATATAATAGATACTTTTGACTCATCCCTTTTCTTAAAAAATTGTTTAAAGGCTGAATTGTGAAGTGCAGATCTTAAAAAGGTCTTAAATTTGCAGATACCAGGTTATTTTATGATACCATTTGGAATAACTTTTTTTTTTTAATTAAGCCCTTTTTAACTGTCCTTTTAGGTTGTTTTGAGAATGTTCTGTAGGCTACTAATAAAAAAAAAAGGACCTCTGTATATTTGTGTTGCAAATTTACAGACAATGCAATTGAAATGTTTACATTGGCTAGTCAGGGTAATTTCGGTCCACTGACAACAAATGTTTCCTTCTGAATTAGCATAACTGCACAAGTTTTATACTTAATAAAATCTTTGGAAACAAATGACATTAGTTATACTTTAATTTCCTTCAATAAAAATGAAATTGAGTAAGACCGTGTAAAAGGTGTGTGGATGTGGATTAGTAATCTGGCCCCTTGGTATAAAGGAGAAAAAATGCTGGCCCTCCTCACTATCAAAGTAGCCCCTCCCTGCCCTAGATGTTGGAACTGTATCAATTCACAGACATGCAGCCGCTCAGTTATTTTTAGTCAGTCCATTAAACTCTAAAATAGACAGCGGTTTGATACAGAAACCCTCTTAAGAAGGTGATCTATACATTTTCAGAAATCAAGTTTAAAATCAATTCACTTTTGTTCACCAAGTCCAAGCTTAAATTTCTAAAATATGATAGTGTTAAGCTCAAACTGTACACATCTGGTTTTAAGCCTCCTGAGCAAACTATGAAGCACCACCACCTAGTGGACTAGCACAGAGACTGAATTTTACAAATGCAAGCGACTAATGCACAATGAGGACAAACAAGTTTTTATAGCAATTTAGAGCTAACAGTTAAAAGGTAGATATTAAGCTTGGGTGTTTCTAACAAATGCAGAGGCACACTAATCAAACGGAGCACACTAGAAATAACACTTCAAACATCTCTCTGCCAAATACCAATATACTTTATTCCAGAGTGTATATACAGACCTAACCTGTTGAATCACCATAAAGACTCAAAAACAAAAATGACCAGGCGAGTTTGAGAAACAAAGCCCACATACATTTCTCTACAGAAGTACTCCAGGATTGATATTGTTCAAATAAAAATAGAAATCAAAACAAGACATTGTGAAAAATCTAATCTTAACCCATTCCATTACCACTTAAACCCACCCAGTTCCTCAAAATAAGAAATAAATCAAAACATCTTCATACACACACACACATCCATTCAACTCACAGTAAGTAATTTACACTAAAGTAGCACAATGACATATGCCACATTAAGTGAAGGAAAAAATAAAATAAAAAGTCAGTCTCGCTCATCCACACACATTCATAATTAGTTTCAGTGCTGACTCTCTGCAGAAGCAGATCGGGAGCGGCTCTGTTTCCTCTGAGGAGTAGGAGAGCGGGAAGGAGACCGGTTGCTGGTACTCTTCTTCTCTGGGGTGCGACTGGCTGAGCGACTGCGAGAGCGCTTGCTTCCACGCTCAGGGGTGCGACTCCGACTGGGTGATCGGGAACGGGAGCTGCTCCTGCTGCGGGAACGACTCCTACTACGACTGCGGAGAGAAGAAAAACAGGTTAAGATTGTGTCAGGGTTTCTGCAGGTTTTATGAAGGTAAACGTAAGAATTTAAGTAAATTAAAAGGAAACGTAATGTTCTTTAAATGTAACTGCCGAAGGAACGCACAATAATTGTATTAAGCAACACTAACTTTAAAAATACAACTTCCAACCAATTTTTTAATTTTACATAAAGCCTAAGACAGGTTTGGATATTTATAATGGAAAACTAGGGGGAGGATATTCATGTTTTGCAATGCATACAACATTTAACGTCATGACTCCATGAAGACAACTTTCTGCTTTGATTTAAGGCCTTTATAAGGCTTAAAATTGTGGTAAGATGAATTAATTTTAAGGCCTAAAAAAACCTTGTCTGAGAACGGAGATTGTCTGGTACGTACTCCCTCTTGCGATCCTCGTATAGCTTGAGTTTGCGTCCATTCAGATCGGTTCCATCCAGTTTGTCAATGGCATTCTTCATATCACTGTGTGAAGCAAACTCAACCACCCTGTAAAACAAATCAGGACAACTCGTTTACAACCATGTAACAGTTAGAGCACAGTCTTATGCGTACATGCACAAGATCTTACCCCTCATTCTTCTTGGTCCTGTGTGCATCCACAAAGGTCACTTCTCCCACCTTCCTCATCAAGTCCTTCAGATCCTGCAGAAAGCACAGAAAGCACTTAATGACACGCTTTCAGAGAAACCCAAAAGCACTGAGTCACACACTGCACTTTGGCACCCACACATTAAGAACACACACTGCATTCTGCAGCATCTGCTCTAAAGTGTGCACTGGTGCACCTGTAGAAAGCTCCCTCAACAGATGTCATCTTACCGGATGTTTGTCCCAGTTTTAAAACTACCGGAGAGTTTTCGGCAACACAAATCTCATTTAGATTGTGTAAAACAGCAGGAAGCAAAGCCCTCAGATGAAGACACGCCTGACTACAGCTAGTTCCTGAGAACAGGTTCTCATTTTGTTAATTAGATTTTGTGCAAGTCTCAAAACTTCCTACCGGCAATCTTTCTCCTTTTACAACTAACTCCAGATTTAAAATGACAGAACCCTCTTTACCGTGTGACTATCCAGTGTGATGAGCTACTTACCGTTCCAAACCACAGAAGGCATTAGCAAAGAGCCACTTGTCCAAATAGCAAACGGAAGCAATGAAGCGTTAAAACGACCTCGGACTCGACCCATCCGGCCTCCGTAAGAACGGACCCCACCAGAGAGAGAGAGGATGGGGGAGGGGCCAAAACCCTGCACCCCTCCCCGCTTCAGCACCAACAGAATAAGACCCAAACAGCAGATGGGGGGGATGGAGCAGATCTGACATCACAGACCCTCCAGAGAGCGGCTACCCAGCTCCTCTAAGGCTATCCTGTGCTACGGATCTGTCTGGTGCTACGGACCCAGCCAAGACTTAGACCGGCAGACACTGCGTGTCGGGTGAGGCACCACAGGGACACTATTCAGAACACAACCAGGGGAGGGCGCTATGCACCTCGGAGGCTGTGCATGCAACTCCAATTAAAGAATACCAGAGCACAGCTGTTAAAGAAAAGGTTTGAAAAACATGGGTCTGGGTTAGAGAACCTTTCAACATTAAAATCATCATTTTTACTTATGTAAGGTTTGGCTGAGGTGACGAGGAAAAAAATACTTCCAGTTTAACAGTAATAAAGATAACTAATTGTTTGTGTGATTGCACAGATGTCAAATGCTAAAGTAGTGCAGGGATGAATCGCTACAACAGAAGGCTGCTACGCCGCTCTGCTGCTACAGCTCGGGACACTCACCTGCCAGCTGATACGAGAGGAGAGATTGTCCACAATGATTCTGTGCTCTGTGCGCACGGGTGGTCCATACCTGAGAAGGACAGAGGTTAACTCCTTTGAATTATAATCATAATAACAAACGGCGTATGATTGCTCACAATTCTTGCGTACCTGGAACCCCCACTGTGGGATTTACGATAGCCTCCAAAGCGTGGAGAGAAACGTCCTCCCATTCCTGGGCCGCCGCCTCTTCCTCGGCGAGAGCGGGCATGTTCAATTGTCACCCTGGGGTTAAGAGAAAAATCATTAAAGCCATGATGAAATTCAAATAGTGTATTGTGTCGTACATGCGAGTATAAAAGACTGAAAAAGAAATATAGGCCAGGGACTTTCTATGCATCAGTTGTTGATTGCATTTTGAGATGCGAGCATTGCACTCAAAAGTGGATGCGAATGAATTCGAGCTTGTGGGGACAGGGTTTAAGTGTCTTTTTTTTTTATAATGCACATGCATATTGTTCAAAATAGAGTGCAGCAGCGGTGACACCAAACCCTAGGAGTCTAATTAATTCACCATGTGTTGGTTTTCCTATAAAGGTTTTATAATTGGGTAAACATGCTTTGAAATACATAAAAACAAACTACTTCAACTGAATAACACTGCAGTTTTAGTATGCGTGTAATTTAACGAGTAAAATTTCTACTCAATTTATATTAACCACACACCTAGTTTCACTTTTTTTAAAAACTGATAAGAAACTACTGAAAAATCTCTAAGGAACTTATGACAGTACTCAGATGCATTTACAAAATAGGGTGCATTTTCATTTCATGCTGACTTATACAATATGAAACAAGCCTAATCATCTACATTAGACAGATGGTGTAAGCAGCTCTGGATTCAGCCTCACCTCTCACTGCACAGCTCTTTTCCATTCAGCTCATACACTGCGTCATCTGCGTCCCTGTGGTCGTCAAACTCCTGTGAAAATCAGACAGCAGGGGGCAATGACATGTAGATTTCACCATCACCTCACACATAAAAGACCCTCAGGAAAGCGTCAATACTCACCACAAAGCCAAACCCGTTTTTCAGGTTTATCTCCCGAATGTGTCCATAGCCTTTAAAGAATTTCTCCACGTCTCTTTCACGAGCATGAGGGCTCAGACGCCCGATGAACACACGACATCCACTCATGGTCATATAAGATTCAGGGAAATCTAGGGAAAGAGTCATAATACGGTTAATGTTATACTGTTAACAGTCTGGCAAACATGCACTTTGAACTATAGGAAAAAAAGCATCTGTGCGCCTGTTGGTCACACACGGTATAACACTGGGTAATCATTTATCCAGTCCAGTCCAGTCGGTGCACGTAAATTATTATTGAGCATCCGACAACATGCAAAAACATTAGTAAAATTACAACATTTTACAAATTATTTAATTTTAAAATTACAATGACAAATATGGTTTTCTGCAACACGTGGATCCTTCAGTTAATGTAAAACAAAAAAAATCGTTTCTAAAAACGCTTTAAACAAAAACATCTAACGTACGTTACCGCCTGTTGACTCTGCGGAACCGCTGAATTCATAATCACAAAATTATTACATAACGAACACCTTTACAATGCAAAAAAACCCCAGTGTTGCTATAAATCACGAATACCTTTAAGTCAGTAAAATTAAACTTAAGCCAGTTTTGAGAAAATATACCACGACTAAATGACCACGGATCAAACGTGCTGCCGAGGCCTAGTCAGCTTGCGCAGATACGTTAGATAGGCTATACTCGATGTTAAACCATAATAACGGACAAAATGTCGTTAAAATGAACTCGTTTCGCATTAACAAAGCTCAAATACAACACTAAACTAACAATACACCTTAAACAAAGTGTATTTTTACGAAATCCGCTTCATCTTCTCACCTCTGCTTACAGGACAAAATGGCGTTGGCCTCGAGACTGGGGAACGCGGCCGCGCGCAGAAGTATTTATATGCGTGTTCACGCGCAAAAGGGGGATGGTAATGGCAGGCGAGGCTCGTGCATGCGGACGTAAAAACATTTAAAACGGTTTTTTTTTCACGATTTATTATATGAGCATTCAAGATACATTCTTTTATCGAATAAAGTGTTGGAATACATTTAATTGCTAGACTTAAAACTTTTATCATTTGAGCTCGGTTTACACAGTTGGAACGGGATTGATCCAGTTTGCAAACTGAAGACGTCACATGATCTAATTTAGTTATCTTTTCTGCTGAGCTTATCAGGAGTCACGCGAGAATACTCTTGGGATTAGGTATGAATTCATTTAATCAGTGTTTAAAAGAAATGACCATGTCCCTCTCCACCCCTTGACAGCAATGAAATTCTGGGAAAATAACAAACTTTTAATTTCTTTATTCTCTATTCATCTGTAAATGTCCGAAATTGTCCATCACATCAAAACAAGACATACTAATCGAGGCTAGAAATGGCATCAGTGGGTGAAGCCTACAAAACGGGTCTTTGCTGAACTAGTAAAATATCTCAGTTGTGGCCTCAGACTAAATAAAACAAAAACAGCATCATAAGAATTAGGCTCTACAGGTTGATAATATATTTGACAAAATAACAGTAATCATATCCCAAATATAAAATTGTATAAATATGTCACCAAAAACATATTCCCTATTGATTTGACTCATGAAACACCTGTGTTGCCATCTACAAAACCATGCCATCCTGAGAGACAGAGAAGATGAGCTTCTAGAGAGGATTCTGACAGGCAAAATGGTACAGAAGGTCAAAATAATACTGAGAGATGTATTATTTACTCTGATATGGACCATAGTCTGGGTATACACCATATTTAATATTTTACAAATGAACACTGAAATATTTGTAACTTTGCTGCTGATCCAACTGACAAAATACTGAAAATATGCTTTTTTAAATATAAAATGTGTGTGTAAAACATGAAAATTGCCTCTAGGACCATAAGACAATCAACATATTGAATAATCTGTACATCTCTCCCAGTTTTATTTTAATTTGTGAAAAATTAGATATGGTGTCAACCTTTACTTTACTAAGGACTATTGCCTGAAGACTAGAAAGACCTTACAACCTTTAGGTGTGGCCTTAAATTACAGTTGAGGCTGGAATACATTTCACAACTTTTAAAATCGGAACAGATTTTAAAACACCACACATTATACGCTTGCCGGCTTTCTAAATGGTTACAGACAAAAACTGGGCATCCTACACTAAAGTCATTGCCACAAGTCATGCCGAATGCAACTCAAACATGTTTGATCCTCCGACTGGATGGAATCATCTCTGAAGCAAAAAAAAAAAAAAATCGGGTCTGTCCATCATACACTATTTTTTGTGAAATCTGACTTTTGGGAACTCAGCGACTACTCCAGACTGAAAACCAGGGCAAAAAATTGTGCAAAAGTAATGTAGTGAGCTGCGGATGACTCATTTCAACATTACTTTTTTTCAGTCTGCACTTTTAAAAGCCAGAAACCACAATTACTAAAGTCAAGAGAGATGACCATTAACACCTTTGCAACACTCCCTTTCTCTTAATCACTCAGACATTGCATTCAATCACAACACTGTTGTACAGTACTGATACCAGACCTGATGTGCAGACCCCACCCACACGTTCCCACCCACCCCCTCAACATCACCCTCACAAATGGCCCCTTTGTGTCCTCGATGACTGAACAACAAGGGTCTTTTGTTTCCAGCATATCAATGGCTTACCGTTATAAGGCTGCAATTTCCAACTGCTGTCAGTGGTGTCATCTGCCCTTTTTAGTGTAAATTAATTGCAAACCTTGCACTAAAATATAAAAAGAGAGCTAAAATGAAATGAATGTAAACCAAAGATGACATTAGTTTGACATCATATAATTAAATTAAAGCAGATTAATATTATTAAAGTCACTGAGGAAAAAAAAAAAGGTTAGAAATGTAAGTTCTTCTTCAGATGACATGCTTATTCCATCTCAAAATAGAAAAGAATTTAATACACAGCAAACTCGGCTAAATCTAGAAAACATCCAGATGGGATTAAAAGAAAAAAGTTCAGGATTTATGAGGAAGGGGCCTGTAGTGTAGTGTTGTTACACACCAGCAGGGGGCAGTCCATTATGCTCGCCCATCATTCATATTGTCCTATGTACTTATAAGAGAGAGAACACTAACACTAGTGGAAAACACTGTTTTCATTTCCCTAAAATCTTAGTAAAAATCAAACAATTCTAAAACGTTAAGAGTACCACTGCAAGGTTTTTAAATCCCTGTAGGCTCTACTGAAAAACATGACTTTGATTTCCTCATTCAGAGAGGCCATGAGGTCTGGTATTCATCCAGTCCAGCAGAAGGTGCTGTAGCAGCAGGATCAGAGGTTGGAGTGTATGTGTGTTCAAATTAGTGTAATACGGTGTGTAAATATATATGTAAGATCACACGCGGGTGTGCCTGCTGCTGTGTGATGTTCCAGCGGCCGCCTCCATAGCAGACGAGGGCTCATCGTCGCTGGAATCGTGTGTGTTCTCTTTCCGAAGGCCCATGCTGATATGGCTCTGGAGCGCGGCGGGTGTGAGCCACTCGTTAGGCAGACAACTCTGCAGAAATGGAATACAGGAGCTGAAATATGCCAATCGATTGACCCAGCGTGGGATCTCTCTACCACACAGCAACTAGAGACAGAGAAAGAGAGAATAAAATGAGGTGGGAATGTAGAATGTCACCAGTCAGTGAAGTTGCATACAGCCCAGTCCTATCAAAAAGGGGAGTATACTGACCTCAGACAGCGAAGAAGAAAAATGGTTGCAGTTTTTGTGCATCAGGTGGTAGGCGTTCCCCTTGAACTCCTTTCCCAACTCCTCCATTATTTTATCAATGTCCTCCTCTGCAAAGTCTGTCGTACCCAGAGCTATAGCCTCTCTGGAGAAGAAACACAACTTTTTAGGTTTTTTTTGTGTGGCTTAAATGTGTGTGTATATGTGAAAAACTCACTTGAATTTGAAAGTCTCCCCCAGTTCTGAGGCATTTCCAGGGTTGATCTCAAAAATGCCACTGAAGGAATACGGATGGCCGCCATATGCAAACTCTACAGGGAACAAAATAACAAACATTAAAACGGGGTTTGAAAATCTTTTGATTGTCACTTAGGAATTTCATAAGTATAATGTCTGGAAAATGTCATTTGTGAAGCTTTTTTAATCGGATATACATTACAACAGGGAAGAAAATATGGTCACAATGTCTGTTTCATACTAAATTTAGAATATTTGCAGTATTACTTACAATAGTTATATTTAACAGTTTAATCCCTGTTTTACAGAGACAGGCTCACAGAGCAATTTCTTTTTAAGTTTAAATGTGTATAGAGCACTGCAGTAATGACAATTGTTTTGCAGATCGACCCGGAATGCTAACTCGTTTCCGGACTTTGGCCTACAAAAATATGTCATTCCTGCAACACTTTATAAGTGAGAAGCTAAAGCTCTCTAAAAATCCCAATGAATCATGGCTTAGTCTTCAGAGCTGCCTATGTCTGCTCTGTATCAATGCTGCTGAGCAGTGTGTGTGTGAAAGGATAAAAAAGAAAGAAATACTGTATGACTCAGATCAGAGGCTTCACTAATTGGCTACAGCGTGTTTCTTCCTCTGTTGCGTTCCATCACTACAGACATAGACAACACTCCACTGCCACTTGTAGGTGAAGTCAAGCCATTTGCAAAGCTAACACAGGGTACATAATGCATTTAATTGCTAGTGACAAGGCTCAGATTGCAGAAAGATGATACAGAGATTGAGTTGAATGAATAAAATCATGAACAGCAACAAGCAAGGATAGTGATGACCTTACTTAAAGGGATAGTTTACCTTCAGTTGGTCCCCATTGACATACATAGTATATGGTACTATGGAAGTCAGTGGGGACCAGAAACTGAAGGTGAACTATCCCTTTAAATGTGGCTATAATGAACATTCATATTCAGCTGCTAATTCACTTCGTAATTATTTTTACTCTCATTTTGTCATAATATTTTTTTTCTAAATATATATACAAAACCTCTAACAACTACCATGTCTAATAATTGTAGCTGACACAGCCTTTTTCAAGTTCTTTACAAATCGGACCAAGGTTCCAGTAGAGGTTTGATGGAAAAAAAAAACATAAAATAATTAAATAACAGCAAAAGGTTAATTGGTCACTGTACCTCTGCCATAAATCTCTATTCCTGAGTGGAAAACTCCAATACCCAGAGTGGAGGTGTATTCATTTATCCAGTACTAAAAGGGCAAACGGGGAGAAAGAGATTTTCATAAAATCATATTTTAATTATAGTACATTTTATATCTATATATAGAGCATCTTGTTAGCTATAAGGCATTGAAATCAATGAATTCTACACAACCCTAACACACACTATACAATATAAGCCTTAAAGTGGAGGGGGAGGGGTGAATATTCAGAGAAAATGTGTCTGTGTGAGGCCAAAAAGTGCACCAGCTGCCCTTCATGAATAATAGAACATGCAGAACATGATTTAATGTACACAGAAAAAAATACTAGCATATCCCCACCCTTTCTGATTTAATGTAAAATAAAGCGATAAACACCACAGTGTCCACTTATATGTACTCAAGTCATTTTCTTGATGTTTTATGACAATACTGCATAAAATGTACAGACATGATTTTAGTACATTGTGAAAAGTAGTATGTAATAAAAAGCTAAAAAAAAAAATAGGATTAGGCCTAACAAAATCACTGAGCTCTATTTATGTATATGTTTATTTATATATTATAGATCTGTGACCACAAGTGTTCTGTACTTGTAAAGTGTTTTAATTTAACGGAGTGACAGCGCCTCCTCCAGCACGGGAGGAGAAACACACGCGCTCTCATCTCGGCTCTGGACTCGCACATCAATGCTTAGTATCACACCTCACACCTAGGCAAAGTAGGTTTGTAG